AGGTGACTGAACAATTTGGAGGACACAATCCTAAACATTATATATAGATTATTTTACAAAACTATGATATCATTATATTATTTTGTAACCTGGATTCCTTCCAGCGTGGTAAGCTCTTTTCATAACAATCAGTGTGGGCCGACACTATTTTGAATGGTTGCAGATATATGCAAGCTGTGGATGCATGATAATTTGTGTAACCAATGTCTATGGAGGGAATATTCAGATGATTCCCCACCTTGTAATGAATAATTTGGAGCATGCTTCATTGTGCATATCCATAGTTATTTCTGAAGGATCAATTCCTGGAAGGCAGAGTCCAAGGGCATGTACTCCGTCAGATCCTGTAAAGAAGATAAACAGGCGAACACCAGCAGATCTGATCACCACTGGAGCCGAGGGTCTGAGCATGGGCATCGCATCCTGCGGGCCAGAGGACTCCAGCGAAGGTGTGAAGGTTAGCAAGGACGGGGTGGGGTTCTGTGCTACTAATCTTCTTTAAAGACAAGCAAACATCTCCCCATGGTACCCTGCTCTTGATGAGAGCGAGTCAGGGAAGGAATAGCCTCCTGCTCAGGCAGGAAACCCCAGCTCCCCATAATTCTCCAAAGGCCCATAATCCTACTTCCTCCTTCCTCCCCCAGTGGGTGTGTCTCAAGTGTCTGTTGGGCTGAGTTGGCACAGAAGCCTACCCCTGCCGCCCCCTCAAAGCCCTCTCAGCCTCTGCTTGTGGGATAAACAGGCAACAAAGGTGAGAGCCACAAGCCACTGGGAGCTTGCTTTGCCACACTTCTGTGGTTATGAAGGAAGAATATGGTGGGATGCATCCTACCCAGCATCCCCTGTTTTCTCCTCGTTTACATCCCTGATTTGGATTCTATAGGTTTTCAGGTGTGGAGGAAATACCTTATGACCTCAAAATCTGAAATACTCTTATAATCGTTTATCACTTTCATTGAAAAAGGGTATTGATCCTATATAACGCCCGTGAACCCGGGAATGCAGGCCACACCCCTCTCTGCCCAGCAGGGTTAGCTCAAGCCCCAGGTGCTCTCCTGGGCACTAATGTGGGTACTCTTTGGGGTACAGAAAAGACACCCTGCCAGGTGGAGCCCTCCCCTCTTCCATCTCCAAATCTGGCTGATGCTCCAGGTCGGATTCTTAAGTGACACACCCTCCATGAAGCCATGTCCTTTGCTGTCCTTTCTGAACACTCTTCTCTACAGGGTAGACTCCTAAGACCACGTGCCGCCATTTTCTCTCACTGGCTTCCACCTGCAACAAGAGGTCTGTGTTCATTTCCTCTTGCAGCCATAACAGTTACTACAACCTTGGTGGCTTGAAAGAAGCCCTGTTTATCACCTCGCGGCACGGTGGGGCTGGAGGGTGGCCCAGGCACACTTAGTGGGTCCTCTGCTCGGGGGTCTGAATGGTGGTGGCTCCTGAGGCTCCCACCTGGAGCTCTGGGGATGATTTGCTTCTAAACCCTCTCAGGTTGTGGGGCTCATTCAGCTCCCCTGTTAGACTGAAGCCCAGTCGTCTTGCAGGCTGTCGGCGGGGTCGCCGGCCTGAATTGCTCTGTGCTGCTTTCCAGGAACTCCCTCCAGCAAGGGTGGCTCAGGCCTGTCTCACACTCGTGATATCCCCTGTCCCCTTCTTCGGCATCTTTCCTGCTCCAGCCAGAGGAAGTTCTTGGCTTTTGATAGCACAAGTGGATGAGTGGACTCCTCGCATAATCCAGGATGATCTCCCTGTTTGAAGGCATGTAACTTTAATCACGCCTGAAAGTGCCTTTTTCCTGCAGCCTAACAGATTCACGGCTTGCGGAGATTAGAGGGTGATCGTGGGGTGGGAGGGCCAGGGGCTTCCCCCAGCACGTGGTGGCAAGACTCAAGCTTTCCTTGCTACTGTCTCTAGGAAGGTCCAGCAGAGGCCCTGTGATTCTCCAAAGGCCCATCTTCCTCACTCTGTGCAGCTCTCTCTCGGGTCCCTGGTCTCAGCTGCAGTTCAATGGGACATTGACTTCTGCACAAATGATGCTGATGAATCATCTCTTCTCTTTGTACAGAAGTTTGCAAAACGGGGGAGAAGAACAGAGCTCACAGAGGGAAAGTTACAGGCAGAATCAGAGCATCCACAGGGCAGGAGGTCACCCAGCCAGGCCCAGAAGTCGGTCTCAGGTCTCTAGACTGCCAAGCCACCATGCTTCCCAAATCTGAAAAGTTCCTGGGCACCAGAGCAAGGCAATGAAGGCATACTTCTTTGGGTTTCCAAGAGAAATTCAAACGAGAAGATGGCCACAGTTGGGAGTTTGGCTGGCTGTTCCTGGCTCCAGCTGCTGAGAATCTGCAATGACACAGCCCCACACAGTGAGCGTCACACTCTGGTAGACCATCTCGAGCAGCACTCCTGGCTCTCCAAGCTGACATGGCTCTGACCCAGCCATGGTTCATCTTAGCATGGAAGAGGAGAGCCTGAGAGCCACCCAGCTGTAGATCTGAGAGGCAGTCTAGAGATCATCCTGTCCAAAGCCCTTCACCTGATCTTAGAGATGGGAAACTGAGGCCCACGGGGGAGGAGAAGTTGCCCACGGGGGTCAGAACTGTGACCCGGCCATTCGGCCTTCCAGCGTAGAATCCAGCCTTCAGTTCCTTCATGTCTTCCTACATGTCCTTAGGGTGATGATGTTCATCTCATTCCACCGCCTTTCCTACCCCTGCCCCCTCCCTTCCCCTCCCACCCCTCTGCCCTATCTAGAGTTCATCTATTCCTCCCATGCTCCCCCTCCTACCCCACTATGAATCAGCCTCCTTCTATCAAAGAAAACATTCGGCATTTGGTTTTTTGGGGATTGGCTAACTTCATTTAGCATTATCTTCTCTAACTCCATCCATTTACCTGCAAATGCCATGATTTCATTCTATTTTATTGCTGAGTAATATTCCATTGTGTATATATGCCACATTTTTTTTATCCATTTATCCATTGAAGGGCATCTAGTTTGGCTCCACAGTTTAGCTATTGTGAATTGTGCTGCTATAAACATTGATGTGGCTGCGTCCCTGAAGTATGCTATTTTTAAGTCCTTTGGGTATAGACCGAGGAGTGGGATAGTTGGGTTGTCTCTTGTTCTTTTGTTTGAGAAATCATGATCTATTAAAAATAATATTCCCTTCAACCACACTCACAAACTGAAATGCCCAGAGCGGTTGAGGATAGAAGTGAGCTGGGCATAAGAAAAATTGTGATTGCTCTTGACTCAATTTGATTTTTCATTTTGAAACAAAACGAACACAGGAAAACATTTTCCCACTACAGGCAAAGCAACAGTGCAAGCACAGTGACAGATGGTGACTGTGCCTTGGCATCAGGGTAAGAGACAATAGGGAGTGGTGGGGAGTGTGGAAAACTGAAGAGCCCTGGCCTTGTAAAGGTGTGGTTCCTTCTCAGTGTAGCTGACTGCTGCTGTGTAGGAACACAGATCTGGAGTGGTTGGGTCTCCAGATTTTTTTTAAGAGAAGCTAGGAATCTGCATTTTAAAAAATGTAAAACATCCCAATTATTAAAATTTAGCTCAACTCTTTAAAAACATTGGCTGGGCCAAACAAAACATCTGTGGACCAGAAGCTTCGAGTCCTTGGTTTCTGCCTTCTTTATGTGCCACCGTCCTCTTTTTATTTAATCCTCTAGTGTCTGTGTGAGTACATTAAGGTTGCTATCAGTGACCCTATATGAGGATGAGATTCAAAACAAAACAAACAAACAAAAAAACTACTAAAAACTCAGATGGTGGTAGCTCCCTGCAGGGACTGAGGTTAAATCAGAAATTATAAACTGGATTCTCCCAAACTGGCTGTTTCTGAGATAGAATTCTTTTCTTCTCCAGCCTTCAACTTCCCAGTTAGCAAAACAGGTCAGGAAAACCTACCCTGACTACAACTTTGAAGTCCTGAGTGAGAAAGTGCCTCCCAAACTGTGAAGTCTTGTGCAGGTTCATGTAAAGGGCTAAGGTATCCCAATGCAATGAAAGAAAGGCACGTGCTTCTTTGAATCCTTCTCTGCTAAGGGGGTCTTTGTAGATTTTAGACAGTTTTAACTCACATGCCAAATCCAAAGCATTGTTTTCAATAGCAAAAAATGTGAAATGACTTAAATGCCCATTGATGGAGGAATGGATAAACAGAGCATATAATCATCAGATGAAATGTTATCTGGCATTTAAGAAGAATTAACTGTGTGTGTATGAGAAATGACATGGATTGATCCTGGAAACAAGACTGAGTGACAAGAGCAATTTGCAGAATCAGTACAGTATGTTGACATCTACGTAAATTTTAAACCCCACCAAAAAATCTCTGCATTGTTCACGGATGCCTGCCTGTGTATTAAAGTATGTAATCATGGTGGGGAAGAGGCTCAGTTAATTCACGACAATGGCTGACTCTGCGTAGGAAGGGAGGGGGACAGGACCAGGTGGAATAAAAAAAAAAAAAGCTTCAATTTGATCTGCAATTTAGAATTTCTTTTTAAAAAAAATCTGAAGCAAATGCAACGGGATGTTAATATCTGTGAATTCTAGATGGTGAGCATGGGTTTCTGTTGTTTTCCAGATTTCTCTGCTTGAATTTTTTTCATAAATGAAAGGAAGGAAGGAAGGAAAGAAGGAAAGGAAGAAGGTTGAGAGGGAAAGAAGAGCAGAAGGAGGGAGGGGGACCGCACGTTACTCCAAGTCATATCTGGAGCTGGGTTCAAGACTTGGGACCAGGGCTGGGGTGGTGGCTCAGTGGTAGAGCACTCGCCTCACATGTGTGAGGCACTGGGTTTGATTCTCAGCACCACATAAAAATAAATGAATAAAATAAAGATCCATCAACAACTAAAACAATTTTTAAAAAAAGACTTTGGACTAGTAATTGGCTGTAACACTGTGATAACTGGGGTTTTGTGTGGAAATGCGGGGGAAAGTTTCTGTGCTGTATAGGTACTAGCAATGGACGCTCCTAAGGAAATTGAACCCAAAGCAGCAGCCAATGATATATATCTGTGGAGAATGTCACACAGAAAATGAAATAAAATCCACGGATCCAATCAGATGCAGAGAATGTGGATGCAGAATAATGTACAAGAAAAGAACCAAAAGATGGGTGGTTTTTGATGTCTGATGAAACATGGGAATTCAGAGGAGTGTCTTCCTTTGTACTTGGATTTGACCCTTTAATGTTTCTCATTATTGTATAGGTTTTGATTTAGCACACTTATGAATACAACTCTGTGCCTATGATTTCATTTTATTTCATGTTCCAAACCAAAGTGTGTTTAGGTATCAATAATTTGTATAAAGTTTTTTTTTTTGTTTAATTAAATGACCTTTAATTTAAAAAACAACTTGAACCAATTTTACGGCACGTGGAAGTTAAATGAATAACGGGCCGCTGTTCTTTGTGTACTGGGCTCTCACTGTCCACAGCTAAACCCACTCAACCTTCATCAAGTTGAGTGACCAAGAATTCTCTTCAATTCTCAGTCTGCCAACGGTGAGGATCTCAGGCCAGTGAGTTTCTCTGATTATAAATGTGGAGTGTCATTCTCCGCCGGACATTGGCTCAGACTGTGGAAAGAAAAGAAGTTCAGTGCCACCTCCAAATAACTGTCTTGACACATTTATTTCCCATTGACTGTGAAATGCAAAGAGATCCCACTTGGGGTGTGGTAGGATCAGGGGCCCCATTAAAGCTCTTCAAATTTACACCAAGTTAGAAAGGGCAGCCCGTGGTCCCTACACCAACCAAGAGGAGTTTCTCCTCATTTGGGAATGAGTGGATTTTCCACTGGACACAGTCCTGGAGTCAAGAGAAACCATGAAGGTGACAAATGGGAGACTGGACTGTTGCTCTCAGAGCCTACTGAGTACCATCACCTCTTTAAGTTGCCCCTCACTGCATACCTGTCAGGTAGAGGCGAGGTGCCTTTCATGGGGTAACATCTGCTAGTTTGGGTTCCTTGCTCCCCTTCTGTTGAGGAACACTCCTTTTCCTCTCCATGTGTTTCTGGTGGAGCCATTTATTACAGCACACAGTAAACCTCCATCACTGGTCACATGACCTAGGCATGGCCAATCATACTTCTCCATTGTCCTGACAACAGTGATTCATGGGTTCAAGAAGGGAGCAGGTGGCCCAAGCAGGGTCTAGCAGGAACTTCTCTGGAACTGACAATCAGATGCTGAGAGAAAGAAGTGCTTTCTTGGGATTTACTAAGCTGGGGCTGCTGTGGCCGTGTCCCAACTATAAAGAGAAGGCCTCTGCCATAGGAGGGAAAGAGACCGATAACGCAGAAAAAAGACAGATGCAGAGGAGAGTCCGGGGGCTCAGGGACAGTCTCGGTTCCAGATTCCGAGGCCCCGGTCCCTGCTGTTTCAGTGGCCTACCTTACCGTATGCGGAAACACCAGCACCAGTCAGTTCCTTTTTTCCCTACAAGTTGTGTTTCTGTTGCTTGCAACCAAAAAATTCAGACCATTACATCAGAACCTAAGACTCGCTGGACGCTCCCTAACCCTGTGCTAGCAGGGCCCTGTCAGTCTTGCCCACCACTGTTCCCTGGCACCAGCCATAGTCCCAGGCCCATAGTCATTTCTAAGGGAACTTCTGTTAATTGAATAAACAGCCCATGAGTATTGCATCGTAGAATCCTTACACAAACCCTGAGAGTGAGGCTTCACTGTCAGAAGCTCCAAATGGTGAGGCCAGAGCCCAAGTTCACCCAGCTCAAGAGTGGCAAAGGCCACTTTGGGATGTGACTCTTCCATTCCTATGGGTCTCCTGACCTCCACTCACACGGGGAACCAAAGCACAGATGTAATTCATTCGGCCCTTCTCAACCCCCAGCCCCTTGGCTGAGGAGATCCCGCGTGGGCCCACCACGAGCTGCACCTGTCCCACCACCTCCCTCGGCCTCGGCCTCTCCTCTCAGCAGTGCCCAGGGGCCAGATGGAGCTTTCCTGCCTGGTGGTTCCTTCCTCCCCCAATTCTGTGCCTCTGTTCCAAGTTTCTGGTGAGTTACTGAATCCTCAGTTTCAAATCTTTTCATATGCAAGTAGTTTATTCTCATTAAGAGAAATCCTATCTTCTGCTTGTTTAACTCTGTCAGTTAAATCCGTTAAGTTTATTTGTGTTTGCCCGGTGGTAATTTTTATTGGGAGAACATCTGAAACCCTCTGTGGGGAGGAAGTTGAAGAAGCCTGTGGTGTGCCCAACCCTGGTCCCGATTTTCCTGACGTCTCCACCACCCGGGCCGCCTCTTGCCATTCACAGGAGGCTGGCTGCGGGCGGCTCATCTTGGGATCTTTTGAGTTTTGAATTTGTGCAGGGACGGTCTTGACCTTTGAGATCTCACATGGAGCGCTTTTCTGTCGGAAGAGGTCCCAGGAAGGACAGCCCTAAAGAGTTCCTGAATGGTGTGGCAGCAGCAGATCAGATGAAGGGAAGAGACCCAGAACTGGTTTCCCTGTTGTGCTCACGCCCTGGGCTGAGGCTCTCTGCACCCACTGCAGTTAGACACACCTGCCTCATTCCCCGACTAGATGTGGAAAGCCTTGAGTACAGGTTTTGTCTAATTAATTCATTATACCCCCAGTTTATCTTATAGTCTTACTATGGTAAACTCTGAATGAATGAATGAGGGGATGAATGGATGGATGGATAAGTGGATGGATGGATGGATGGACGAGTGGATGGATGGTTCCTTGGACATCATCTTCTGTCCAAAGGGGCACAGTCAGCACATAACTGACAACCATATGTGAATGGTCCTCCCGGTGCAGGGAAGTGATTATCATCACATTCTCATCGTTCCCATTTTATAAGTCTCTTTGACACTTATTTCCTTATCTTCATTTTCTTTAGGGAAAAAATATTCACCTAGTTAATCAAATTTTCCTGCGTTTTTTTTTTTTATTCCAACACAAATTGCAATTTCCAAATGATGCAGAACAAAGATAAACACAATTACAAAACCAGGCAGCTCCAATAGATAAACCTCAAATTGTAGGTCAGAAAAGAAAACTTGAACTAAACTTTGCCTGTCGGTTCCCCTTGTTCCCACCCAGGTTTTTTAGGATCTCTTTTGACTTAAAAGAAGTTTGTGATAGATGGATAGATTCTGCTGTGCAGTAGGCTGTCAAGATAGGTAGAGAAGCCAGGCGCAGTGGCGCACGCCTGTAAAACCGGCGGCTCGGGAGGCTGAGGCAGGAGGATGGTGAGTTCAAAGCCAGCCTCAGCAAAAAGCGAGGTGCTAAGCAACTCAGTGAGACCCTGTCTCAAAATAAAATACAAAATAGGGCTGGGGATGTGGCTCAGTGATTGAGTGCCCCTGAGTTCAATCCCCAATACCCATCAACAGAAAGATAGGTAGTGAGCTCCTGGGTAGGGGAGATAGACAAATGGAGGTTGGGTCACTACCGGTGAGGAGAAGAGAACAGAAAATAACTGACTGGAGCATAGTGGAAAATGTGCACTAGGAACCCCAGAAATGACAAATTCAGTTACAAAATTGGTGGACATAAAGGAATGGTGAAAATTGCATCAGATAAAGGGTTACACATCCTGAGAGTGAATCTTGGCTCCAGTGGTAGGTAGCTATGTGACCTTGAAAAAGTTACATAACTTCTCTGATTAGATGAGATATAAATTATAAAGAACATATAGCACAGTGTCTGACACAAGAGTATGTTAAAGTAGACTAGCCTCCTTTATATGTTCTACGAGGACAAGAAGTAAAAGGTGGATTCCAAAATTAACCCCGAATCCCTCCCATCCCTGAAAGCATACTCATTTGGGGAGTGACATTATCTTCTCCCCACCCCACCAAGGGGTGGAGTCTTGCTTTGATTTGCTTTGTCTGATGAGACACTGGCAGAAATCACTACAGCACAGGTTTGAGAGTGTGCCTGGGGACCCTGACGTTGACCAGGGGAGAGAACCTGGTCTAACCTGCTGCATGGAGAGAAACAAGTTCTTCCTGCTCACTCTAGCCAATAGTTGAACGAGGCCCCAGGCCCCAGCAGCCTACCAGCTAGCTGACTGCCAAATTGCCTGGTTGACCCACAGACTCATGGGCAATGACAAAGTGAGGATTATATGAAGCCACTTTGTTACACGGCAAATGCCAACTATTACAAGTAGACTGGAAAATTTATCTCATTAGAAATAATAGGGGTCAATAAGTAAACAGATACTGCTTTCCAGCAACTCACTTGATGGATGACTTTTAACTTAATAATAGGGATCAACAAGCAAATGGAATTTGGCTTTGAGAAACTCACTTGATAGGTGACTTTGCCACAATGTGGATACACTTCCAGACACGAGGGCCGTTGTGTGCAGAAAAACATCAGATCATAGCTGAATTGTCAGTCAGGCTTTTAGCCAGTTTAACCCGCTGAAATGCGTGTCATGCCTAGAACAATGAACTTGAGGGCCTGAGCTGTTAATGCTAAAAGAAACGTAGGCAGTATTTGTTCAAGTGCTGTGTTCCTGGAAACCCGTCAGATCCTCCTGGGGAGGAGCCTGGCTGGGGACATCACTGTCACTCCCACTCTGGGAGAGACTACTGTGGTCCCCCAGACAAGCAGAGAAATATTCAAACATTATTTAGATCCCACTTTAATATTACCTAAAAATCACCATCCAGGGGCTTTGATGTCTTGGCTGGGTAGAAATAACACTTCACTCTTCAAAAAAGTTGTTTGATCCTTGAATTCTGTTTTTTTTCTTCTTCTTCTTCTCTTTAGATATTAACTCAGAGCATGTGAATCTCCCCTGGGATGGAGCCATGGAAGGGGGCAATTGATTGAGTGAATGAAGTGATTTAACTTCATTATCATTGCAGCCCTGAAAGGGGCCACTGTCCCTTTCCTGTTGGCATTGCATGATTCCCGCCCTGCCCACCTCTGTCCCTGCACAGCCCCCCACCAGTTCTCACACCAACCCTCGAGGATAACTGGATCCCACCCTCCAGCACCCCAGACACCAAAGTGATCTTTGTAAAGTACCAATCGCTTGTGATTTCCCTGCTCAGAAACCCTCAATGGCTCCCTCTTGCCTCGGCCACTGAGACCATCTCTTCCCCCTGTCATATTAGAGTCCTGGGGTTGTCATAAAAAGCACCACAAACTGAGGGTGGACAACAGGAACGGACAGTCTCAGATCCAGCAATCTGAAACCACGGTGTAGACAGGGCTGCTCCCTTCTGGGGACCAAGGGGGACTCTACCCTGTTCCTCTCTCCTAGCTTCGGGTAGCCTCAGGAAGCCTTGGCTTGAAGACCGCCCTCTCCCTGTCTTCACATCCTCCTTCCTCTGGGTGTTTCTCTCTGTCCAACCCCCTGTGCATTGAGAAGCAGTCATGTTGGATCAGAACCCACCCTGAAGGCCCCAGCCCTATTATCCTAAACACCTATTTTCAAAGAAGATCCTATTCATGGGACCTGGCAGGACAGGACTTCAACATCTTTGGGGAAGACACAGTTCAGCCATAGCAGCTGTAGCAGCTGGTTGTCAAGGCCCTTCCTAAGTGGATCCCCAACTCTGTGTCCCTGGCTGAGCCTAGTGCCTTCCAACTCTGGCTCTGGCACCATCGGGGGCCACTCATCATCATGCCTGAGCTCAAATCTCTATTCCACCACCTCTCAGGCTACATAGCTGCTCTGAGCCTCAGTTTCTTCATCTTTAAAATGGGATAATAATGACGCCTACTCAGGGGATTGTTTTGAAGGTTAAATGAATTTGTGTCAATAAAGTCCTCTGAAGAGTGCCTGGCTCCAAAGTATTTGGACAAAATTCATTACTATTGGGGCTGGGGATACAGCTCAGTTGGTACAGTGCTTGCCTTGCATGCACAAGGACCTGGGTTCAAACCCTGGCACCTCCCCCCCAAAATTCATTACTGTTGTTTTAGGTTTTTCGTCCTCCCTTGCTTCTCCTCATTCAATGAAGTTCACCCTTTCCCTGTCTCAAGAGGAGGTCGTGGCATTCTGAGGTCACTTTCCAAGTCCCCAGGATTAAAATCCAGACCTCAGGATGGGGTGTAGGTCAGTGGTGGAGCGCTGGCCAAGCCTGCACCAGGCCCTGGGGTCAATCCCCAGAACTGGGAAGAAAACAAAACCCCCAAAGCCCAGACCTCTTTCCCCAAGGCCAGTGCCGGCTCCTCTGCTTTGGGGACATGGATAGGGACAGGCCTCTCGTCCTCCTCTGGCTCCTTCTGCCATCCCAAGTCATTCCAAGGTTGATCCGTTCTCCTAAAAACCCGGCTTCCAGTTTGAGCTAAGCTGCCCGAAGTGTTAGCAGCCGAATCTGCTACTTGCTAATTTGTCACTCGGGGATACGGAGGGGACGGGAAGGCAAAGCGGGGAGCTCTGGTAATGGCTCGTCCCCAGTCTTCATCAGCATCCTAATTATTCCACACCTTTTTAATAGAGGAAGCATTAGCATTCCCAAACTGTGTAGGGGTCTGATTGAAATAATGTCTCCTGAATTATCTTTTCATAAACTGAAAAATAAATAAATAAGTGGGAAGCTCCCCAGACACAGCCTCCTTCCAGGCTTGTGCCTGGTGGGGGTCTCAGGGAGGTGGAGCGCAGGGAGTGGCCAGGGGTGGCCGTCTTTCACCCACTGAGGACAGGAGAGGTGGTCTGTCCCCTGGTTGCTCTTCCTCCCATCCTTCCACCTGGCATTGTCCTCAGGGCCTGCTCCTGGGACCCCTCCTCCTTCTGGAAGCCCTCCTGGACTCCACCCTTCCCTGGTGGCATGCGGACTACGCACCACCTCACCTGCCTCTGCTTTCTCTGAGGGTCCCCAGTGGTTGGATATGGCCGCCCTTGACATTTGCAGTGCAGATTGCTCAAGGGCAAAGCCCCTAGGAAACTCGTCTTGTCCCCTCTATGGCTGCCAGCACAAGCCCTGGCCCTCAGCTGGACAGAGAGGGAAGGACACTGAAGGCTGCCTGTGTCACAGTCCTTCCCACCGTCTCCCATTCCAGCTGCCTCTCCAGATGTGGCTCAGAGGCTTAGCCAGCAACTGGGAGAGGTGAGCCGAGTGGACCAGGGAATGAGCGGCTCACCACCTCCAGGGGCTTCCAGGCCGCAGGTAGGAAGTCCCCTTGGCTCTGTGACTCTACAGCCCCAGTCTCCGTTCCTGCCGTTCTTTGCAAGGGGAACAGCAGCGCCTCTCACTAGCTCCCCGGCCAGCCACGTGTTAGGAAGGGAGTCTGCAGCCAAAGCCCGCCACTGTTGCAGTCGGCACAAACAGAACATCTCACATTTCAGAGCTGTCACACTACTGAGAGTCATTCACATAAACAAGGAGGTCCTCGTGGGTTTGATGGCAACACAAACACCACTTGTGACTCAATTAAGGCAGCAGTAATTAAAAAGGGGGAACAGCATGCTGGCTCTCCAATCCCATCTTCCCATGGAGGCCTGGGCAGCTGACAAGTGGGACCTGGGGGCCGGATGGGGACGCTCCCCCAGGGCCTGTGCTCCACCCAGCCCTGGCCAGGGCTGGGGCGGGGGAGGGGAGACACGGGCACACAACCCTCGACCTCAGCTAGTGACCCGGCTCTGCGCCAGCACGTGGCATATGTTGATGAAAATCTTTGTAAATCATCGAAGTGCCCCTGGGGACATGCAATGCTGTCCCCTGAGATGAGTCACACGTCCTTGGTTCCCAAATGACGATGGCCGATTACTGTTACTTTTACTCTGTTCCAGGCACTGTTGTGAGTCTGTCGTAGACATGCAGCCGCAGCTACTGTTACTAATGAGGAGCAGGCACAGACTCGGGCCATCCTTCCAGCTAGGAAGAGGCATCGCCAGGATTAGATGAGGGGGTCTGGCCCCGAGCCCACCCCGCGGTCTGTACAGGTGGCCAGCTGCCTCTCGCTGTCTGAAGCTCTCTCCTGGGCCAGGGCCCTCCCGGTATTCGTGACACGCTGGCTCTGCTCCAGGCGTGTGCCGGCCACCCGACCCGGGGGATCTCCTCCTCTGAGTTCTATGATTATCCCCCGGTTCCAGATGGAGAAACCCAGGCTCATCCAGCGAGCGTCAGACTCTGCGATCAGATCAAATCCATATTTACCTGACTCCCAGGACTGTGCCCGGTGCCCCGAGTTCTGCCGTCTTCTGTGGGTGCTCTGGAACTGGCAGAACATCCACCAGATGTCGGCATCAACATCCTTCTGTGTGAAATGGATCGTGTGGAGGTCAAGGACGGAGGAATCTACGACAAAGAGACACTCGCCAAGCGGGCTGTGTCCCCAAGTCTGTGGGCTGCTGCTCCTGCTTAGGGGCGTGGAGGGAGGGCAAGGGCAGGCGCTGGGACAGCAAAGGAGCCACGTCGCACCCAGGACCACTCGGGCTAGGGACCTGCTCACCCCTGGGAGGAACAGAACCTGGTCATCCCCACCACAGGTGGGGAACAGGCTCAGCCAGCTTTGCCACTTGGCCGCCTGCCTCAGGCCTTCGCCACTCCGGTCCACGCGGCAGCAGGGAGAACTCGGCCCGGTGCCCAGAGAGGCCGACAGAGGCCTGGCTCCCCTGAGAGTCCCCTGCCCTTTGGCAACTCACGAAACCTCTCTGGGACTATTTATCTCTAAAATGGAGATTTAAATGCAAGTGCTCAGCTCACCAGGGCCTGGGTGGGAGGATTTTAGGAGAGGCTGCAGGTAGAACGCTCAGCCCTGTGCGTGGTCTAGGAAAGGCCTAGAGGTGAGCAGTAGCCATGATGGGGACTGTGGGGAAGAGGAGGAGGAGGAGGAGGAGGAGGAGGAGGAGGGGGGGGGGAGGAGGAGGGGGAGGGGGGAGGAGGAGGAGGAGGAGGGGAAGGGGGAGGAGGGGGAGGAGGAGGAGGGGGGAGAGAAGGGGGAGGGGGAGGAGGGGGGAGGAGGAGGGGGGAGAGAAGGGGGAGGGGGAGGAGGAGGAGGAGGAGGAGGAGGAGGAGAATGTGGACACCCACCCCCTGCTGCAGCCCCCCTTGGTCTCAGGCCTCTTCACTCTGCACTGAAGAGCCCATCTGCATAGCGGCCATCTCCAAGAGGTCCCGTCACCCCAGGCCCCAAGCAGGAGCCTTCTCCCCATGCCCCTTCCTTGATCCCAGTGGCCCCACTTGGGGGGGCTTCATAAACAGCTCCACTGAAGCCAAGGCATCATCTGGCCTGTAAATCAGCGGGCTTTCTGTGGCCATTTGCAGCATCAAAGGCGCAGACACCTCCAGATAATGCATCACGCTCGAGAGGCGGAGGTAGGGGGAGCTGTCATCTGCAGTCAGTGAGCAGGAAATCTATGTCCCCTCCTGGGCCTGGGTGCCAGTGTCACCGAGGGCTGCCCCCTTGGCCTCCTGCATGAGCCAACATGGGGCAAGTGGTCATAGCTGCGGTGGTGTGCATGTGTGTGTGTGTGTGTGTGTGTGGATTTGTTGCATTCTGTGTGTTTGTGTTTGTGTTTTCTCTTTTCTCTTTTTCCAAGAGGCCATCAGCATTCCGGCAGCGTCCTGAGAAATTCATCAAATTATTTAACCTTTGCGGGAATAAATAATACATGTGTTTTCTCAGGATTTGTTCTGATTAAGCCGTTCTGGAGTGGTGCCAGGCCTGAGCCCGCCCCGGGAGAGGCAGGAAGGAGGCGGGGGGCACAGGATAGGAAATCAGGAGGCCAGCAGAGGCCGGGGCAGGAGGGGGCCGAGGAGGCCGGAGGGCCCGGGAGGTGGACGTGGACCCCTGCAAGCTCCTCCAGGCTGGCGGCAGCAGAGGAAGGGGGTGGACTCCAGCAGCTCTGGCTGTGCACCTGCAGGCTCTCTGAGTCATCAGGCCCTGAGGACGGAGGTACAGAGGACAGAGAGCTGGGCGAGGGGTGAGTGGCAGTCCCATCTGGTGTCCGGGAGGCCAAAGGCCAGGCAAGGCCTGGGTGTGACTCCCTGCCCCCCTTCTCTGCCTGCTGTGGAATTGCCCCTCCCAGCATCCACACCCATGTGCCATTACCCAGGGGACACTGGCAGAGCCCAGTGTCTGCCCACAGTGACTGCTCAATAGAAACTCGGTTGAAACCCCTTAAACTGCTGACCGGTGACCAGTGTAAACCTACCAAAGGACCATTTCATATGGCTCCACCTACACGTGGCCTCACCTGTGATGGTCACACGCTCTAGCACTGAGGGCCCACTTTGTGCTCCAGTCCGGGTGTTCTCTACAGATAACCTTAAACTTCAGCCCCGTGAGGTCTGCTTCTTATTATCATTCACATTTTACAAAGGGAACAACTGAGGCTCAGAGCAGTCCAGGCACCTGCTTGAGGTCACCCAGCTGACAGAGGGCTGAGCTGGGCCATGATCCCAGTGTAGCCCCAGAGTTTTCTAACACCACGGCATTTCTAGGGCTTGGCCTTCCCTTCATAGGAGCCTGCCACTAAGCATGGGGACAAGAGAGGCAGGAGAAGGCCCAGGTGGAGGGCAGGTGGGAAATGAAGGTCATAAATAGCAAACTCAGAGCCCATCCAGTGCTGTGGAATTTCTAAGAGCTCAATCTCAGCAAGTTGCCCTTGATAAGCTACAGAGACAGTGAAGAGGGGAACACAGAGTATTTAGAACTTTCATACACACGGCAGTGTCAGAGGTTCCCAGGAAGGCTCTCGAGCGACCTGGAAGCCAGCCATAGCTATTGCATCTCTAGGAATAGCCTCTGAGCAAAGAGCCTCGACCTCAGTTGTCCTCACCCACCTGGGCTGCAGATGCTGGAGGGGCCTGTGTTGGAGCTCAGCCCACAGGACCTTGGAGGGGCTGATCCCACCTGGGGGGTGGTGAGGGAAGCCGCCTCACTTTCCCCCCTGGTCCTCAGTTTCCTCTGGTGCTGAGAGGGCGGGTCGCCTCTCTCCACGCCACCCTGGGCTCTGCCATTCTGTAATCTCCATGCACCTGCACAGCGAGGGCGACCAGGAAGGGGCTCTGGAGCCAGTCTGCTTGGATTCAAACCCAGCTCCACCATGGAGAAGCCATGTGACCTTGGGCAGGTGACCTGACCCCCCAGAGCTCATTGTCTGCCACCATGGATAAGTCCTACCTGTAGACTGGCAGGCTTGGCAAAAAGACTTCTGTGTGTTCCTGGCTAGGAGTGGGGGCTCTGGAAGTAGCAGCATGTGTCTTGATCATGACCAAGACCTAGGCAGGGAGGGAGGGAACCATCCCTCCATCCTCCATGAGCACCAGAAATGTCCCAAGGGAGGAGGTGACAGGGGCCCAGCTCCAACCCCAACCCGCCTGGGATTCAAATCTCCAAGGTCCTCAGCCTTTCCAGCCCTTGCTTAGGAGCTGAAATCTGGGATTGGAAGGATTCACAGTTGCCCACCGATAACCCCAGATAATCCCTCTTGTATCCACATATCATTTTCCTCTTAAAGAAATAAAATCTCTAATTAGAGTTTTCTCTGAACGCACTCTCTTTGAAAAAAATTAAAAATGTATAAACCCTCCTGTATCATGTATGTATATTTCATTGCTGCATAATTGGGATCTTTGTCAGTAACCAGGGTAGCCGGCGACAGCCTTTTAATCGGCTCCGGATGCTAATGGAGAAAGAGACGTTTTCCTCCTCTTTGCTCAACGGTTCAGCCAGAGACTAGAGTCCTCCCTAATAAGTATTTATGTCAAAACCCTTTTTTGGGGAGTGGGGGGGGAGGAGCAGCTGTAGCCCAGTTGAAAGACGGGGCTCTGATTACAGTGCACCGGCAAGGGGGGGTCACTTTCAGAGAGAAACAGTGCTAATCAAGTTAATCACAAAACCCGCGCTATAATTGCTTCAGCTCTCAGACAAAATTTTACTTTTATCTAAATTACTAAAGTGAGGAGAGTGCAATCCACTCTAATTTAGCTTTTGAGCTGAGGAGAAAGCATGTGTGGAAGGCTGGAGAGGTTTTTAAACATCAGGAGAACTCGTGCAATGGAATCCAACACTCCTCCCTGCCTCCCACCCGCCTCCCCTCCCTCCTGCCTCCTGCACATCCTTCCTCCTTCCAGAAGGCCTGGCCCAGGGCTGAGGGTTTGGACTCCTGGACCTACCCTTTAAGGCTGTTAGCAAGCTACTCAGCTTCTCCATGTCCTCAGTTTCTGCATCTGTGAAATGGGATTGATTGCCAGTAGGGTACCTGTCTCAGGACTGGGGGGCAGAGTTAATGCATTGGCAGGAACGAGGTATTGGTTGTGTGTGAGCCATGTGCACTCTCTCTCTCTGTCTCTCTGTCTCTCTCTCACACACACACACACACACACTCTCAAGAAGCGTCCCTTGCTGTTGTGATCTCTCCATTTTCCTTCCTCCCTTCCTGTGCCTCTGTCTTCCTCGCCTTCTCCTCCTCCTTCTCCTTCTTCCACTTCTTCTCTTTCACCTCTTCTTTCTGAGTTTCCCTCCTGTTTCTAGCACCTTCTTTGCACGAGGCACGACCTGTCCTCAGGGACTCACAATCTGGTCTTGATGACTTTGAATTCAAGAGGAGAGTGAATGGGCCTCAAGGAACTCAGAGAAGAGCTGAGGGGATGGACCTGAGGGCACCCTTTCTTCCACTGGGAAATCAAGAAGGCTGTGTGGAAGGAGGAGCCTGGTAGCTGGGTGTCGGAGGACACTGCTGCTGTGGACGTGGGGAGGCAAGGCCTGGGGCCGGCAGCCTGAGTGAGGGCGGAGAGGGGAGCACGGGCAGCAGGCGGTGCACAGATGCCGGAAGATGCTGGACCAGCTGAGCACAGCTCTGCGGGTGGGCCCACCTCTCACCCCTCACCCCTCACCCCTCACCCCCACCCTGTGCAGCCCTCCAGCCTCGTCCAGTTGGCTCTCAGCATCGGCTGAACGGGAACCTTCGTTCCTCACCTTGCAGGGCATCCCAGGTGGGATCCCACGATGGCCACACACTGGGCCACTCACTTAGTCCCATGTCACTGGCTGCCTTTCCCCGCCTGCCTTCCATCAGTCTCGCTTTCTCCCACAGCAGCCTCCGGGGGTCTTCCAAATTCACGCTTCGTCCAACGAGGAGCTGATGTCATCCAACTTGCCCGGAAACACAGATTAGAGAAAACACACACAGTCAATTTAACTGGCAATTAAACAGACTCCCCTATGTAATTAGCGTCAAGACAACTCACAATTACTATGGGGCGCACATTCGCAGCCGACGCTCCACATTTATATAGAGCAACAATTACTGGGCGCTAATATCTTAACAGGAAGCGGAGGAAATTTGTGAAACATTTTAAGGAGGCAGCCCATCCTGTCCTTTTGCACTGTAAATAACTCTCTTGTAAATGGAACTGTAAAATTAAAGAGGCAATGCTTGAAATGAGGCGGAGAAGAAAAATATTTACTCTATTGAAAGTAACTGATTGCTGTTTTGAGATGACCAATTTCAGGAAACTAACTGCTTGTCCCATGTTAGTAAAAGCCAACTCCACTGGCTGAGGGCTTCCCTTGGGCCAGGCCCATCACCTGCTGTATTGCATCCAGGTCTCACAGTGACTCTGTACAGAGATGGGGAACTGGGCTTCCGTAGGTGAAGCCACTTGCCCAAGGTCACAGCTGACAGCAGCAGGACAGAATCTGGGTCTAAATGCAAAACTTTGGTGCAAAACCCCCCACATTCACTGCTGTCTGTGCCACAGACAGTCACATCCAGACTCAAACACTAAGCAGCCTATCAGAAGGCGGAGGCCCCGGAGGGAGGGACCAGCCCAAGGCCATGCAGCAGGTCCAGGGAACAGCACGTCTCCCACCATTGCCCCTTCCCACTGTACTGTCTGATAGAAATGGAAATGATGCCACCAAAGAAGGACCCCTTTGGTGACTGCACCTCTCCTAGAACTGCCTTGTAGGTCTACGGTTCTTGCTCCTGGGGAGAGAAAGAGGCCTGAGTTGGCTTTAGGGTCAATGCAATATAATCCACCACCACTCCCCCTTCCCAAAAAAAGGAGCTCTGAAACTATTGAGTTCTATGCTGGACACGGAGTACTATTCTTTCTCTTCCCTTATCCTAAACCTTTGTAAGCATCCCTGAAAGGGATAGCAGCAATCCTGAAGCCCTGTAATTAGGAATACTTAGCCAGATGCAATATATACATTTAGCTCATCAAGGGACTTTAGCAGTAAAAGCTACAGTATCAGTATCAGTTAGCTATTGTTGTGTAACAAATCTTTTCAAACCCCAGGGACTTAAATGCAATGCCTGTGAACACTTTGCCATGTACTGGGACTGGGCTGGTCTAGGCCAAACTGGGCTCGGTGCCTCTACGTACTTCAGGTCTTTGAGTCAGTAGCAGCTCCATTCCACAGGTCTCCCAGATTTGTCAAACCAACAGATCTTTTCCTGGGGTGGCAGAGGCTCAAGAGAGCGAGCAGAAATATGCCGCTCGAGTCTCTGGCCAAAACAAGTTACACGGGACTGAGGCTTGGGAGGTTTGAGTGTATTCCCCCATAGTTCATATGCTGGAAGTTTGGTCCCCAACATGCTGTTGTTGAGGTGGTGGAACCTTTAAAAGCTGGAGCCTATCAGTGGACAAATTAGGTCAATGGGACATGACACTTGGAAGAGATTAATGAGGTCTTCGTGGAACTCCCACGAGTCTGGCCTGTTCTGTCTGTGGCTGTTTCCATTTCTGCTGCAGTCTGGCTGGGCACAATCAGGAGCCACTTGTCAAAAGAAACTAACTTTATTTTTAGAACCACACACGCCAAACAAAACAGCCTCTCAGGAAAAACCCTCAGAGCCCAACTGCCACCACCGGCTTTCCACAAGCCTCTCTCTCTCACACAAGCTTCTCTCCACCTCCCACAATCCTCCTGCTCTTGAGGCCGATTGGCTGGGTCACGTGGGCGGAGCCAAAAAAGTCCCCCAATGAGCAGCTCCGTGGTCTGAAAGGGCAGGGAAACAGTCCAATGAGCATCACCACAGAGGAGCCAATCAGCTAGATGTTGCTGGGGCCGAGGAGCCAATCAGCTAGATGTTGCTGGGGCCGCTGTGAGCCAATCATCAGCCGGCAGCTGGAAGTTTGCTGGCAGCTGGAAGTTTGCTGGGGCCCCTTCGGCTGTGGCTCTCAACACCTTTCTGCTTCTCCACCATATTGTGATGCAGCCAAAGGAGCCCTCACCAGAGGCTGAGCAGATGAGGCTGCTGATGTTGGGCTATCGCATCTATTATGGTTTGGATTGAAGTGTCCCCCAAATGTGTGTGTTGGAGGGTTGGTCCAGGATGTAGGTGGGGGTTTGGGGAAGTGATTGGGTCATGAGGGCTCCGAGTGGGGGATCAATCTTTTGATAGGTGAATGGGCTGCTGGGCAGTGGTGGAAACCGAAGGCAGAGGGGCATGTGCGTTCCTCCATGCCCTTCTGCCATGATGTTTTTGCCTTGGAGCTGGCCAGCCATGGGCTGAAGCTCTGAAACCATGAGCCAAAATAAATCTTTCCTCTTTAAGTTTTTTCTTCAGGTATCTGTCACAAAAAATACAGACCAACATAGCATTCAAATCTGAACTAAATAAAACTCTTTTCTTTATACATATTTAGCTCAAGTATTTTGTTACAGCAATGGAGAACAGACGCACAGCCAAGTTACATGCAAGGGTGCTCATGCAGGGACCAGGGAAGAATTGTGAGGAGGGGAACATTCTATTCACCGCAGTGTAATAAAACATCAAATAGGTCTTTAAAAAAAAACTCAGTATTTGGTGGGAAAGGAGCTAGCTGCTAGAGAGAGATGATTTCAAGCTTGATTTATGACTTTAAAATAGGAATAGTCACAACTAGCTCACAAAGCTGTCATGAGGCTTACATAAGATACTGCACATGACTTACCTGCACCACCCAAGACACACACTCAATAATCCTCGCCATCCTGGGGGCACCAACACATCTTGGTTTATCCAGGACTGTCTAATGTGGGAACAGCCACAGTCCCCGGCAAACCAGGATGTCAGTCACCCTAACCATCCCCATTACCAAAATAATACAAGGTCATCTTCGCCTGCCAGGTACATTGGCAGGAAAGAGGGTAAACCTTCTCCTCTACTCCTACAACCACCCTTCTCTGAATGGCACTACCATGTTGGTGCTGCTGCCCCTGGGACTCAGGCGGTGCTGGAGAATACGGGGAGTAAATGATGAACTCTTTAGTGGACTCTTGCCTTGTGGGGCAACAATCTAAGACGAAAAACATGAACTCCCACTCTTTGTTACATGTATAGTAACAACTGTGACACAGGAAGAAAGTGACTGGCAAATCCAGCTTCCCTGAGGATGGTAAGGTAGGGGTTTTAAAAATTACCAGCCATGTTCCCTGAGAGCCATTCTACTCTCATAGCCAACAAGCCTAAGAGCCTGGTTCCAGAAATTCAAAGACAATTATGTCTGACAAGAGTTTTCCTCACCCAGGGAACTTGTCTTAGTTTCTCCCACCAGGGGTCTTGTTCCAAAGACACTGGTTTACAAATTGGAAAACCTTCAAGCCACCCGAGGGTTGGTGGAGGTGGTGCCGGTGTTCTGCTCCCTGAAATCCTGGGAATGAGGGGAATCTGTGTGCAGTGGGGTGGGGGTGGCTCTCTGGGATGTCAGATGTCTGTCGTTCACTTGGAAACAAACTCTGAATCAAAGTGATCAGCCCCGATCCTTCCTCTCCATCTTCTGGCAGCTGGGCCTTTGCATTTCACATTTCCCTTGTCCTAAAGAAATCACAGGTGAAGCAGCATCTTCCTGGGCACCCAGGAGTGCACGGGTGTTCCCCGAGGAAGCTGACAACGTTCTCAGCCCCGCGTCTCCTGGAAGAGCCAAGTCCACAAAGGGTGTCCAGGGCTCTGGTTGGACTGTGATCTTTGAGAGCAGCTGCAGGGGAGCAGGGGAGCCCAGCGCCCCCACCTTCACCTGCGGAAGGAAACCTGGGGCTCCTTTGCCAGGGCCCACGCACCTTCTGCCTGATAAGTCACCCCGTCAAGGCTCACCTCCTGGCCTTTCTGGCCAGACTCCAGTAAGTTCACCGTCATTTCACCGAGGGCTCTGGGGCCAAGCCCACTCTTGGCTTCAGAGATAAAGGCTCCTTGAAATGTGTGATGTGGGCAGGGGTTCCAGGAAGGCTTCTCTGAGGAGGCCTTTGGGGGCTGAGCCCAGCCCCTCACCCAGGACAGGAGAGCCAGGATCTCAACCCCAGGCCTACTTTTCATGCCTGGGGGGCTTTAAGGAAGTCATCTAAGTTTCATCCACAAAATGGGGACAGTGATGGTACCCAGCTTGTGAGGTCTGTGAGAATCCATAAGATGATAGGTGTTAGTTGCTCAGCACATGCAGCCATGTATTTAACAAGCACACATGGGGTGCGGCCACCATGCTGGGCAAGGAGACTTGGACACAGAGGTCGACACAGCCACCGCCCATGACTAAAGAGTCCCTGGTACATAGGGTGGCCCAACCAATGCCAGTTGTCGTCATTAACCCAAGGGCTCAGGACAGGGCTCAGTCCCCTCTGCCCTCAACCAGAAGGCATCAAATGGACCTGCCGTCCGTCTTCAGCAAGATTGAGGGGACTAGGCCATCTGAAAGGTCAGCCGGGCTCTCAGTGAGAATCAAACGCACACTGTGAAGAAGTCCTGGGGCAGGAGGGTCCCACTGTCTACCTCCTCTCTGCCCTAACCAGGCCACCACCTCCCTTGCCCCAAAGGTGGTGCCACTGGTCATGAGTGCTTGCAGGTGCTGCCCTGGTCTGATGAGACTACCACACCCTGAGAAGTCCCCATGAGACACTCGATATCAGTGACTCTCAAACTTCAGCAAGCGTCAGACCCACCAGGAGGGTCTGTAGACCACTCCCAGAGTTTCCAATTTGGTAGATCTGGGGTGGGGACCTGGAATGTGCATTTCCAACAAGGCCACATTGATGCTGCAGGTTCAGCAACCTCTGGTTTAGAACGTCATCCCCATTTCACAGGTGAGGAGACTGAGGCTCTGAGAGGGGAGGAGACTCACCTGTTCCCACTGTCAGGCAGGAACAGGGCTGCAGCCTGATCCACTGGCCTGGCTTGCTTGAGACTAGGGATTCTGGGGACTTTCAGTGCTAAAATCAGGACAGCCCCTGGAAAACCAGGAGAGCCGGTCACCCGAGTTGCAATCCAGGCCCGAGCAACTCCTCTACCGTGTCTAGAGAGCACCTTATAATTCCCAACGGGCTTTACATCCATTGATACTGCCAGGATCAACAGTTCTCTGCATCCAAGATCTCTCTGAGTTCTCATAACCCTACAAAGTGGGAGCTATTATTCTACATTGTAGTGGTAAACTGAGGCACAGAGGGGTGATCTATCCAGGTCACATGGTTACTGAGTGGCAGAGGTGAGACTGAATGCCAGGCTCTGAATCCCCTGCACCCGGGGCCTCCTTCTGGCAGGAGGGGAGCTGAGAGCCTGGTGTGGAGTGAGCATGCCTGTCCCCAGCCCTGCTTCCGGAACCACAGTGCCTGGGTTCACTCCCATGCTTGCTGGAGGGACGATCTTGGGTAAGCCACTTAACTACAGGCTTCAGTTTCTCCTGCTTTAAGATGGCATAACAGCTGCCCGCTGGATTGCTGTGCAGAGTTGAGTGGGTTAAAGGCAGAAGAATTCTGCAAACAGCACTTAGCGTGGAAGACGCGACAAGTGTCTGCTGCTACCATCGCCTGCAGAGGAGGGACACGGTCCTGTCCTCCAGGGAAGAGGTCTACCTTCCTGGACTCAGCAACCCCAGGAACTTTGAATGCAAATCAGGGAGCATCCATAATATTTTTCTATTGCTAGCACTGATTCCTGTGTTGAGTCTCCACTGAGCCGGTTCTCCACTACCTTCTTCCACTGGGGCTATTTCTAAATTCCAAGGCCCCTTATATATTGCTAAGAGGCCACCTGATCTTCTGCCCCCACTGGGAAAGCCATCAGTTTACCCCATTCTAGTCATCTTTCCAGGGACCAATGAATCATCTCCACTTGCCTTCCATAGGGATCCCTTGGGGACACTCTTTTGTGCCACCCTTGGCAAACCTTGCTGATCAAGGGCCTTCTTGAGAATATGGAGGCCTTATCTGCTCCCTGGGAACCCAGCAGCCTCCCCAGGGATCCACCTGGGATAGGAAGCCCAGGACCCTCTGAGTCACATCCCACAGATTTGGTTGGCGGGGACAGGGAGGAGTTATCCCCTGCTACCTCTTGTAGGTCTCAGTCCTGGCTGCCACCATTATGTGGCGTTCAATATTTGCAGGTTGGGCCCAGGAAACCCAGCCTGCTCAGGAATAAAGAGACAGGTCCCACCTTCAATGGCTTCTAGAGACCAGGTGAACCAGAGTATCCACAAAGCTGCACCATGGTCCCACTCGCCAAGCTGGACGGGACATCTGCTCAGAGCTCTGTCTTCACTCCCTGGGGGAGTCTGGGCAGGTCACTTTCTGTCATGGTTAATTTTTTATGTCAACTTGGCTAATACTCAAGTATTTGGTCAAACATTATTCTAGATGCTTCTGTGAGTTTTTTTTTTTTTTTAGATGAAACAAAGGTTTAAATCAGTAGATTGACTAGAGCACATTATCTTCCCTAATGTGGGTGGGCTGCATCCAATCAGTAGACGGTTTGAGTGGGGTGGGGGAACTTCCTCTGAAGAAGAGGGGATTCTGATAACTGCCTTCAGACTGCGCTGACCCCTCTTCCCTGGGCCTCCCATGTCCTGACCAGCCTGCAGCTTTGGACTTGCCAGCCTCCACTGCCACCTGAGCCAGTTCTTAAGAATCTCTCCCTCTTACTAGTGTGCCTTCCTCTCCACATTTCCTTGTACCTCGTGGAAAGATAGGGATCCGTACAGGAGAACCCTCCCTGGGCTTCTTCCAAAGCCTGTGGGTATAGGTGAAATCTGGCCAGAATTTGAAAGCCCAAGTCAATCAGGGCCACACTTGGGTTTCAGAAACTCTGGGAACTTTCTGGAATTATGTGTCATGTGCTCGTTCACTTATTTAACAATTCATTTCTGCTTATCTCCTCGGGACCAGGCATTGTGCCAGTGTCTGGGTACCAAGAAGAATTATTTAGAATTGATGGTAAAAGGTCTAGGCAATTAGCAGGCGACAAGGAAGTGGATATCATGTGCTACACACTCACTGTCTTAGTCTGTTTTCTGTTGCTGCCGCAGAATACCTGCTGCTGGATAATGTATAAAGAAAAAAAAAGGGTTTATTTGACTCACAATTCTGATGGCGACTGCAGGGTTCAAATAGCATAGTGGCAGCATCCTGGTGAGGGTCCCCTGGCTGTGTCACAATTTGGAAGAGAAATGGAAAGGGAAGTAGTCTCATTTAGAAGGGTGCAAGAGTGTGGGGGAGACCTTCTTTTTAACAACCCACTCTTGCAAAAACTCATTCCGTGAGAACAGCATTCGTCCCTTCTAAGGGGGCACCCTGAGACTGATCAGTCTCCACCTCTCAGGTTCTGCTTCTTAAAGGTTCCACCACCCAACACCACCACACTGGGACCCAAGCTTCCAGTACATGGACCTTTGTAGATGGTTCACCCAAGCCAAAGCACAAGAGTCAGGTAGGAAAGGCAGGAACCCACAGGAGGGTCCTCATGTCCAGGGAGGGGCCTTATATAGCCCTCCTGAATTAGACAGTTCAGGAGTGAGAGGAAGGTGTGCAGGGAACAGAATGTGCAGAGAGAGCTTCGAGAGACAGAGAAAGATGATCCAGAGAGGCGGGAAGGACCACCTGGAAGGAGGCAGACTGGAGCCAAAGCACACAGCACGCGGGTCTCCCTTGGGCTTGGGACTGTATCCCAAGAGCAACGGGAGCCTTTGAAGGATTCAAGCAGGGAGTGACATGGTCCACGTGAGAGGTGCTCCTTATCTTCAAGAGGCCTGGGTGCTCACATAGGAAAAGGGTCCATGGAAAACCCCCTGTGCGCCTCATTTTTAGCCAGTGCTCACAGGCACTCCAGGGTGGGGAGGCTGAGGCGCCCCCTGGTGGATGGAGGGGGAGCAGCAGCTGGGGGCCTTCAGGTGAGTAGGGAGATCAGAACCTGGATTCTAGGAGGCTGCTTACCGGATCCCAACCGTGTTTGGGCTGGGCCCAGGAATTGAGTTGTGCAGTCAGATCCTGCATGTTGAGATATTGTAATTAAAGGTTTGTCAATATTTCCACTGAAAAGGCAATTTTCCCGAGGGCATCTGGTTTGGGGATTTTTTTTTCCTTTGTTTTCCTCTTGGTATACGGGAGCCGGGCAGGTCTCCTGATTGTGCATGCGACACAGGTCTTTCAGAGTAACAGCAGTCTGCACTATTGGCCAAAATGACTGTATTCATCTTAATTTTTAACATCTATTGCCTTGGAGTAGGTTTATAATTAAATGTTTGGATGCACCAGCAAATAAGAGGAAGGAAGTTTCCTTCCCTTGAAAGGAAGTTTCTTCATTCCCCCACCCAGCAAAAATCCTGGTTCCATTGCTTTACCTCAAATGGAACAAGAATCAGACTTACAAAGCAGAACATTGTGATGGCAAAGGTCTGGCAATAAACCAAACTCTTTTGTTAAGGTAGTGAGCTCCCCGCTGCTGTTGGTATTCAATCACAACATATCAACTGATGAGCCAGGGATTTGTGTTTTCAAGGTACAGGGACTTGTTCATGAAGCTACCCGGGGGATTCTTTGAACAGGAGCTGCAAGAAAGGTTCTATGGGGTTTTGTCACCAATTCATGGGATTTTAGTGAAACCTACCTGATAACAAACAGTGTGTTCCTCTAAGATGGCTGGTCCCTTCTGGTCTTTTCCAGTCACTCATTCCTGCAGGCCTGACAATGTGGTGGAATTTTCCAAATTCGCACACACTTCCCCGGAATAAAGCTGAGTCTTCCTTATCCTGATTCTGCACTCAAACTGGTTTGGATGGGCCCTCAGGAGCTCCACAGGCTTTGGCAGCCATTTTCTATGGCATCTCAAAGAAGGGCCTCCTTGGAGCCCAGAGAGTTAAGAAGTGGAGTGAGTCCCTTCTCTACTACACAGAGACAGCGCCACAGCCTGCTGCACATCAGAAGTCAAGTTGGGCAGATGTGGGATGGTGTTGGCTAGCGCCAGGGTTTCTAGAACTCCTCATAGAAAGTGAAGGGTCTCATGGCCAAATGAATAACTGCAAAGGAAAGTAGGCCTTGTTTCCCAGGAACACTCCATGCTGATCTTTGTTCAAGGGGTCTCAGTGCTACCTTGGGCTTCGCCATCCCACATTCAACATGTCCCCAGGGAGGGCCCCAGGGGAGAGCCTGTGGGTAGTGAGGATGGTGCAGCCGCTGTCCTATGGAGCACCCTACCTGCTTCCCCATGGGGCTGTGGTCCCTCTGTCTGTGCCCCGTGCTGCCTGGCTCTGTACCCTGCAGGTAGTAAGTAGGCATCCACGTAACATGTGTGGAATGAACAAACAAATGAATGAACCCCACTCACTCTGACTCCTGCAGTCAGTGGAAACTGTGTTCAATCCCTTTCTCCTCCCTGTCTTCCTCACTTAGGAGCATTTAAGTGCATCTGGACCATCTTTGGTGCCTGTGCCACACTCCCATGCTGACCACGCCCCTTCATGTCCACGATGTCATCTGGCCTGCCATGTTAAGGTAAGGGAAATGAGATGCTGAGCTGCAGTTAGCAGCAGCAGGACCCCAACCCTGGAGCCCGGACTCCAAGGCCCGGGAGCTGGCGGCCATACCTCCAAGTCCTCAGAAAGCAGCAGCTGCAGAGGGCCCAGCCCTCATTTCCGCCTCCCGCAGACCACCCACACTTTGTCCCTGCCTTTCCCTTCTGATGTCACCACAGCCGCTCTAAGGCTTGTTCTGTGAGGGCTCTTCCTCGGTAGGCAATTACCTGAGTTCATATGGTTAATTGAAATATTCCTTTTCCTTGGGTTTTAATTCATCCAGCGTCGTTGCAGGAGCCACAGATAATAAGACCTAATTTATAATTAGGGCTTATCAAGAATCAGCTAATTTCTAGACCCCTGATTCCCAAGGAGGCAGTGCGGGGTGGGGGCTCCTCTTTCCTTTCCAGGGAGTTGCTACCCACGAAGCTCAAAGAGGCACCAGGGAGGGAGGAGAACTAATTGGGAGCTGGCCCTCCATCTTGGACAATTTATTAATTGGATTATGGGAAATCTCAGGCCCCAGGCAAATCCCAAGGAGGCACGGCTGCCTCCCCTGGTTTGTGGGGAGAATATTAGACACAAAGACGAGACCTGGGTTCCATTTGGTCTTTCAGAAGCTGAGAATCTTTACATAAGTCACTGAATGCTGCCTTGCCTCCGTGTCCCCTGCCCTGCAGTGGCCAGGACCGTCCTTGCCCTGCCGAGTTCCAGGGGCTGTCATGGGAATGACGTGAGAGGGTTCAACAGGTACCTCTCAGGAGCAGTTATGATTATTTTGGGCGACTTGTGTGCATGAGATGGGCCCCAAAGACCAGTCAGGAAAGGGTGTTCCAGCCCGGGAAACCATGTCTCAGAGAGAATGAGGCTGGCCAAGACTCCACGGGAAGTTAAGAGTTGGGAGTCTTTGATTCTCGTTGTCCTCTAGCATCTCCCGGTCCCAGAGGTCTTGGACTCCAGTCCCTCTGTTGCTTTCCTACTGCAAGCTTCGCTACCCCTGGAAGCCTCTCCAACACCCACACAGCCAGTTTGAGTGGCGGAGAGTGGGGGTGGGGGGCCACAGCAGAGTGGGCACAGCTCTGGAATCATGTAGGTCTGGTTTCAAACTCACACTCTGCCTTTTAGCAGCTGTAGACAGCAGAATTCCTGTGGTTGCGTGTGAAAAGCCAGAAACCCCATCCAAATGAGCTTAAGCTTAAAGGAAAGATGAGCCAATGTCTCCGAAAACTCTAAAGGAACAGCTTTGAGTGCGGTGGGATGCGGGTGCTCAGGGATGACCGTCCCGGGTGAGGGAGAGGCGGTGGAATGAGCCTACGATGTGAGTAGAATTTCCACCCAGGAGAGAAGCGGTCTGCAATGAATGGGAGATTGAAAGGAGAAGACGCCAGGTCATCTTAGGCCACTCTCTCACTATCTGATCCTCTGTCTTTCCATTCAGCTGTGCAATAGGGTCAGCCTCCATGTTTCAGGAAATAAGATTAATATCCAAAAATCTACTACATTTTTAATTCTAGCAATAAACAATCCAGATAGGAAATTAAGTAAGTTTTTTTTTCCATTTATAAAAGCTACGAAAAGAATATTTAAGGATAAATTTAACAAAAAAAGGTGCAAGACTTAGCCTCTAAAAACTTCTACAAACCATTATTGAAAGAAACGAAGAAAGACCTAAATAGAAGCAAAACACACGCTGTGTTCATGGAAGACTTCATTTTGTTAAGATGCAACAGTCATCAAACTGCTCTATGTACTCAGTATAATCCCTAGAACATTAC